AGATGCCGATGTTGATCGATTGAGAATAACAAAACCCCATAATCATCCCCCTGACCAAAATGCCCAAGACAAAGAAGAGTTTTTGGATCATTTAAGGAGAGCAGTCTTGACCATGCCAACTTCTCTGAAAGTTGTATATGATAATATAGCTTCAGTGTAAGTTAGATTGATTATTACTTTATAAAGGTCCTTTGTATAAATGTCAGTATTTATAACAATTTTAGGTATCCCGCAGTGGCGGAAGTAATCAAGAAAGTGTTGCTTTTGATAAAGAAAGTGCGACTAAAGTAGAAGTAAGCCAATAAAATGGATTTATTAATTGTTAATTAAATCGATAAGTTTCCCCGCTGCTTTGTTCATAATTGATCTATATATTTTATTAATTTATTATTAACTTAGATTTGATTGAGTATAACAATTATAAATATTAAAACTTGAATCTTAATATTTATAAGTGTTATTATCCCTCATTGTATTATACAAATGTACGTGTTGCAATCATCAAGGAACAAACAGTGCTTAATTTTGTTGTTTTGTCTATTTGTTGCTTTTCTTTTCTGGAAACTTGTCGAGCTGTATCTTAAATTATTTAATAAAAATTCTTAATTTAGTTTGCATTGAACTTCCTTAATATACAATTTAAAACCAAAACACTTGTTCAATTTAACACATTGCAATAAATACTAATACAACGTGTTTAAAAAGGATATCGGGAAATTTAATACACCAGCGTTTGTGATTAACATAGAAAACTTTTATTTTTGTGACCATTAAGAAACTCTTGGTTCATAAATTAGTAATTTTGGAATTTCGGTACATTAATTAAGATTATATTACATCATTGTTTATGTATTGGGTAGCCAATAGAAGATAATTTTACTTATACAAACATGTATGTAAAAGTATGGTGTCTATTTTTAATTCGTTAATAAGTTAGTACAAGTTATTGCTCAGTTAACTACGGGAGACTTACAGTGTTTATTGTTTTATTAGATGTGAAGTTTTCTATTGAGACCAGTGAAAAGAAACCAAAAAAACGGATGAATGCTAGAATGCGCTTTGTTGTTGATGGTTTTGTCTACCATAACAATGTTATTGCTGGTACACCGCCTTTAAGGTAAATATATTAGTTTAATTATCTTACAATAAATATAACATTATTAATATTCATTATTACCAAATGATCAATTCAATATACAATCTGTACATATAAGGAACAACAGAAAAAAGAACAAAAGAAAGTTTTACTGTTATTGAGGCTATTTTCATACTGTTATCGACTTTAGTGGTTTATTGTGTGTATCTTCTTAATGTCGTAATATTTTAGATATTTGGGTTGTGCAGAGTTTAAACGGGCGGGATGCAGAGCCAGGGCAAGTATACCAGTTGGGGGTACTTTGGATCAATTGAAGGTAACGAAGCCTCATAATCACCCTCCCGATATTAATGCAGAAGAAAGATATGAATTCGTTAAAGAATTGAAAAGTGCAGTTCGTTCGATGCAAAACGCAACGCTTAAAAAGGTTTACGAAACCATTGCAGAAATGTAGGTGAAATTGAGTTATATTTTTGATAAATTTTATAGTTATACAAAATTCTAGATATCCAAGTGGTGCTGAAGAAATTCCATTTAAATCGATAAGCTCGTCGTTACACCGATGGCGTTGTAATCCCCATTTATAAAATATGGAAAACTTGTATCCATTCTTTTAGATATATTATTCACATAAGGACTGCTTTTTCGTATTATATTTATTTATCAAGTTATACTCATGTCTTGGAGTTTCTTTTTGGTTTGGATGTATTAAATCAATGTAAACTTACAGGAATTCCACGAATATGGTTTTCGTATTTTTTTTTTTTAATTTAGTTTTGTAAGTACCTGGTATTTATTGTTTATGTCCAAAATTATTTTTTGATAGGTAATTANATGATTTTCTTTTCATGAAAACTAATTTTCATCATCTGACTGAAACTGGTTTATTTTTAAATTAATTAACATCTTTTATTGAAATCACATCTTTTATTGAAATCATTGTAAATAAGAACCTTAGTTCTTTTTGTTGATTCTTCTTTAATTTTAAAGTTAAGAATCCTGAATATTAATCTTTAAAGTTGAGTTTTCAAGAAATCTATTATTAGGTTATATTTGGCAGTGCATTTCAAAGTGACAATTCTCTTTCAGAATCAAAGTGAAACGGATATTGAGATAGAGCCAGATAAGCCTCCTGATACTTTTCCTAAAAAATATCGAGAGCAAGTTGAAACCCCCAAACCTGCCTTATCAAATTCACCCAGGCCGAAAAAGCCTTTGCCTGGTCCTGCATCAAAACGTCCTAAATTACAAACTAGTCTTATATCAGAATCAGGAACTTCCTCTGTTTCCACTAAATCGGAAGCATCATCTGGGGGCCCAACGACACAAGAAATAATACAGTTTAAAATGGAACCATATGAACAAAGCAATATAGAATCTGTGGAAAATCAGGAAGAGACATACGGAAGTGAAACGCTTGACGACACAGCTCAAGGAGTAGGAGATGATACAGAAGACTTTTCATTGATGGAAACTGGTGACGATGAACCACATCCAGGAACTAGCGGTGACGGCACGGGAGATGGACAAGGTATGTGAAATATTCATCTTAATTATGCAAGCCTACCAGCAATGTACACAAATGTGTATTTTCTATTTTAATTCATTTAGAACATTGTACACAAAACAAGTTCTAATTTTAAAGGAAATCAGATACATATAATAATGCTCTAGTGTATGGGGCTTGTGTGTATAGCAGTTGAAAATTTAGTTTTTGAATAATATTAGAAAAGCGTCAAAATAAAATAGAGTCGATTGATTTAAATGTGTTGCAAAATTTCATCCGACATTATTAAGCAGTTTAAAACAAGATTTGCAAATTAAAACGATAATAAAAACCATTTTTGCCTTAAAACGCTTAATTAGATATCCAGGTTATTATTATAATTTTTAATTAAATTGCAATAATTGTAACGTTAACCAATGGCAAAGAAGTTAGTGGGTTTAAATGTCTCCAGTCAGGTGTATAGTTGGTTGTATATACACACAAAAATATGTGAATGGTATGCTATACCAAGGAGACCCATGTACTACAAAAAGTTCAAATGCTAGTGAGAAGTAATAAAAACAACATCTACATTATCAGTAAAATTCTACTAAAAAGGATTCAATAGGGTATTCTCTTTGGTGTAATATACATATGTTTGTCATGTAATGTACTGATTTTTTCAAATTGATTGTAAGTTGATTATTTTCTTCAAACTTTGAATGGTTGTCGACTTACTACACCTCCAATTTTAGAGGTCTCTGTGGAAAATAATTTCTGAAAATCATACCAGAAAAAATCATTGAGTAAACAAAAATATAGAACATACAAAAATAAAAAGATGAAGCACTAGGTAACCTTTTTACTTGTTTTTGTAGTGAGCAAAG